CCTGGAGGGTGGCCTTGGCCAGGTCTGAGCCAGAGCCAGGGGTCACAGAGATAGTGGGTGGGGGCCGTGGCGAAGCCATGGGACAGTGGGGTAAGGGGTTAAGGCAGGTCCTGGGGGGGGATATGGGGGATTGGGGCTGCTATGGAAGGGGTGGGGGTTTGTGGGGGGTGATGGGGATCCTGGGAGGAGCCCAGGCTGAGATGCAAGCCCGAGGCTTAGCCCTCCACTTCCTCCCTGTCCTGTCCCGCCACCATCAGTACCATCTGGATTACTGCTCCATGTACACAGAGCACAGTGTCTGTGCCAGGGACCCCGAGTGCAGCTGGTGCCAAGGAGCCTGCCAGGCTGCCCCGCCCCCTGGGAGCCCGCCTGGAGCCGTGAGTGACCCCAATGCCCTCTCGCTGTGATTCTGCATCCCTTCGCTTCCCTGCATGCCTGGAGCCTCACTCCAATGCCAGCGGCCAGGCCCTGACACCCTCCTTTCTCTGCCTGCAGTGCCCAGCAGCTGGCTGCCTAGGCCTGGCCCGCCTTCTGGGTGACTGCCAGGCCTGCCTGGCGTTCAGTGGTGCCGTCCCCCCACCTCGCGGGCCTGGGGCCCTGGGCTGGTGCGTCCACAATGAGAGCTGCCTTCCCCGGCCTGGTGAGTGATGAGTGTGGCTGCCCCATAGCTCCGAGGAGCCTTGTGCAGTGGGGGTGGCAGGCATGGCTTCCCCCCCCGGTGTGAGTCAGTAAGTCCTGTGTCCACCAGGCAGTGCCGTCCTTTGGGGTTTGGGGAATGAAGGGAGAGGACAAAGGGCCAGGGGACTGGGGGGGAAGAGGGAGAGAGGAGGAGGGCAGGAGGACGGGAGGGGGCGTCCGGCTGACCATCCTCCCTCGGCTTCCCTTCCTCTCCTCAGAGCAGGCTCGATGCCGAGGGGAGCAGATTTCTGGCACCGTGGGCTGGTGGGGGGCAGCCCCTGTCTTTGTTACAACTCTGGATGCCTGTGTTACTCAGAGTTTCCTGCCTGGCCTACACCTGCTCACCTTCCAGCAGCCCCCCAATGCCTCCCAGCCTGACAAGGTCAGGGGCCGCAGTGGGATGGGGGGTTGGCCCAAGCCCATCCTGGGTGCGTCCAAGGCCCCCTTCCTCCCTCTGCCTGTGGGGGCAGATCCCTAAGGGCCCTGCTGGTTCGGAGAGCAAACACCCCAGGGCTTCTGGGCTTGGGAAGTGAGAGGGTTCCCCTGTGGGCGCTCACTGCCGGCCCCTCTCCTCCGTCCCTGGCAGGTCTCAATTGTCCGTAGCACAACCATCACTCTGTCACAGACGTCCAACACAGAGTCAGATGTGTCCCTCGTCTACCGGGGCTTCATCCACCCGCTGCTGCCTGGGGGACCTGGCGGCTCAGGCGCTGACGATGTCGTCGTGTGGGCCCGGGCCCAGAGGTTGAGGGTCCTGGCGCGGATGGCCCGGGGACCCGATAGTCAGCACATGGTGAGGATGGCATGCAGCCTGGAGTGGGGAGGGGGCCCGAAAGAGGCTGGTGGGAGGTCTGAGATGATCCGCCAGAGCTGGGGCATCTTTGCGGCTTGTGGGGACCCTGGCAGGGGATAAGGGGGTGCTGTTTGGGGGAGTTGAGGCAGGTGGTGCCAGAAGTGTCTGCTTGAGGAAGTGGGGGCACACGGGCCTGAGGGGAGGGGTTCTTAGATGAGAGGGGGGCTCTGAAAGGAAACAGTCCTGACATGACAAGGAGACGGCCGGAACCGGCTGAATCCCAGGCCACTCTTCCATCTCGGAGAGCCCCACACCCCAGGGGCCAGTGGCAAGAGGATGTGGGCCTGGCCAGCAGCGGCTGCCAAGGCTTGGGCGCGGTCAGAATCTGCCCAGGTCCTCGTCAGGAGGAGGCTCCCTCTGCCTCTCAGCCCACGGGGGCGAGCTGAGCCGGATGTGGCTCAAGGCTGGCCCATCCTGGGGGCCGAGCGCTGCCTTCCCCCAGTCGCTCCTGTGGAGGTGTCTGGGAAGGGCTAAGGGGCTCACCCACAGACGTGCATTGAGGAGTCTGTCCTGTGTGTGCGGCCTTCCCACCGCTTCTGACTGAGCTCCTGAGCCTGAGCGGGGTCGGCCCCGGGCAGAGGGCCCACAGGCATGGGGTGGTGGTGGGGGCCACACCTCAGCACTGGCCCAGGACTTCTGAGGACAGGGGCCCAGTGGGCTGGGGCTCATGGGGAGCGGTACTGCTGTCAGAGTGCCCGAAAGAAGAGGGGTTGATGCCTTCTGAGCTAGGAGTCTAGAGAGGGGCATGGGGTGTGGCAGGGGCCACGCTGGAGATAAGCAAGGAGTATCAGAGTCTGCAGGAGGGGAGGCGTGGACATGGGTCAGGGGCCACACAGCCATTTGGGGGGGCCTGGGGGACAAGGGGTCTTGTGGCAGGTCTGAGTCTTCTTACAGGCTTTTTTCTTTGCCTTCCAATCACCACTAGGAGGAAGTGGGGCGCTGGGTAGCCCAGCAGGATAAGGAGATACGGAGGCTCCAGCGCCCTGGCTCGGCCCGCCTCTTCCCTCTCCCTGGCCGTGGCCACAAGTATGCCGTGGAGATCCAGGGTCAGCTGAATAGCTCTGCGGGCTCTGGGAACAGCGAGCTCACCCTGCTGTGGGACCGGACCGGCGTGCCTGGGGGCAGCGTGAGTGCTTGGCCTCGGCCCCCCCCCCCCGCCCCCCCCCCCAGGGCCTGACCGGTCAGCCGCTGACCAAGGCCTGGCCTGCTGACCTCCGGCCATCCCGTTCCCCCCAGGAGATCTCCTTCTTCTTCCTGGAGCCCTTCCGCTCGTCGGCTTGTACCTCCTATACCTCCTGCCTGGGCTGCCTGGCGGACCAGGGCTGCGGCTGGTGCCCGCTCAGCGCTTCCTGCCTCCTTCGCCAAGATGGTGCACGCTGCAGTGGGGGTGGGGCCCTGCTGGTGCTGGCCCCAGCCCTCTGCCCACTCTGCGAGGAGCACCGTGACTGCCACGCCTGTGCCCAGGTTCTGATGGGCACCGCAGGGCTAGGAGGCATGGCAGAGGCGCAGCTGTGGATCCTATAGAAGGAAGAGCTTGCTGACGGGGGATTGATGGGGGGGGGTTTCCCATCCCTACGGGGCAAAGAGGGGAGGGGACAGGCTGTGCCAGGTGGTCTTTGAGACCCTCTCCTTTGAGTTGTCAGGATTCTGCAAGACAGAAAAGATGAGAGGGGGATGGAGGGCTTGGGGGAAAGGGCAGAGGGTCTAGGGACCGTGTGGCAGGTAGGACTTGGATGGGAGTGGGTGGCATTCTAGGCAGAAACACTGGAGTGGAAAAAACCTGGCGAGTATGAAGACTAGGCCAGGTGTGGTGGATGTGGGGGAGGGAGTAGGGGGAAGGCTAGAGGCCAGAGTTTTTGACCCTCCCTCCCCCCCTACCCCTGCCCCAGGATCCTTTCTGTGAGTGGCAGCAGAGTCTGAGCCGGAAAGGAGATGCCACATGCAGCCGCCGGGGCCGGGCTGGGTCAGCTGTGAGGAGCCCCTCCAACTGCCCCCCACTCTGTAACCAGTGAGGCCTGGTCCAGGGGCCCTGGGGGGATGGGCTGGCTCCATGAAAGGGGCAGGGGGAAGTGGGGGGAAGCACCTGACTGGGCACGGCGAGGCCGGCCAGATCCTGGCTCTGACCCCTGGCTCCCTCCTGCAGGCGACACTCCTGTGAGACGTGCCTGGCCAACTCTAGCCAGTGTGCCTGGTGCCAGTCTACACAGACCTGCTTTCTCTTTGCTGCCTACCTTGCCCGCTATCCTCATGGGGGCTGCCGGGGCTGGGATGACAGGTAGGCAGGATCAGATCAGAGACTGAGGGGACAGGGGAGAGGATGGCGGTGTGGGAAGTTGGGTGGCCCAGTCGATAGGGCCCTGGACCTGGAGTCAGGAAGACCTGAGTTCATATGTGACTTCAGACGTAGACTAGCTGTGTGACCCTGGGCAAGTCACTTCTGCGTGCCTCAGTTTCCTCATCTGTGAAATAGGGATAATAATAGCACCTGCTTCCCAGGGTTGTTATTTGGCTCAGACGAGATATTTGCAAAATGATTTGCAAACTTTAGGGAGGATGGGGGCCCGGGTGAGAGTTGGAGGACTGGGAGGCGAGGTCTTCTGTGCTGACAAATGCCCCCTCCCTGACCCAGTGTCCACTCGGAGCCACGATGTATGAGCTGTGCACGTTTCCTTTCCTGCCACGATTGCCTGCAGAGCCATGAGTGTGGCTGGTGTGGGAATGAGGACAACCCGACCCTGGGCAGGTGAGGGTGAGGACAGGGTAGAGGGCTGGGGGGAGGGGCAGAGGCCTCTGGGCACGGGCTCATGGCTGCCATTTTGTTTCTCCACCCTCCTCCCCTGCCACATTCTCACTCTCTCTCTCTGTCTCTCCCTCTCTCCCCCCGCCTCATCCCTGCTTTGTTTCTCCTCTCACTCGTTGTCTCCCCGTCCCTCATCCCTGTCCCTTCTTGCCCCATTTCTTCCTTCCCCCCTTTTCTCTCTCCCTTTCCTCTGCCCTTCTCTGGTCCTCATTCCTAGGTGCCTCCCAGGAGACTTCTCAGGACCAATGGGGGGCAGTCCCTGCTCCCTGGGAGCCGGGGAGGGGCTGCCTCCAGGGCTTCCTGCCCACTGGTCGTATGCCCAGTGCCCAGATGTGGATGAGTGCCGCCTGGGCCTGGCACGGTGCCACCCGCTGGCATCCTGCCTGAACACACCAATCAGCTACGAATGTCATTGTGGGCACGGTTACCATGGTGATGGGGTCACCCACTGCAACCAGACGTGAGAAGGGGTGGGGGTTGCCATGGTGGGAGAGGAGATGGTAGCTGGAAGGCAGAGATTGCTCCTTTTGTTGGGGCTGCCCATGAAGATTTGGGTCTCCAAAAAGATGACTCTGGAGTCGTGGGTCACAAGTTGGAGTGGGGTTACCGTGGAGATGAGGGTCACCCATTGGAATGGGGTTACCGTGGAGACAAGGGTCACCAGTTATGAGATTGCCATGGAGACCTAGGTCACCCATTGGAATGGGGTTACCGTGGAGACAAGGGTCACCAGTTGGAAGCGTGTAACAGTAGAGAGGGATCCATGGTGTTGTGTGGGTCACCATGGCTTTGGTGGGGATTAACCTCTAAGCATGTGAAGGCGAGGATCAGGAGCCCGGGCTGTGCCTGCTCATCTGACCCCTCTTCCCTCCCCCATTGATCCCCTAGTTGCCTGGAGGACTGTGGTCATGGCACGTGTAGTGGGCCCCCTGACTTCACTTGTGTGTGCGACCTGGGCTGGACCTCGGATCCCCCCCTGCCCACGCCTGCCCCTGGGCCTCCTGCCCCTCTCTGCTCCCGAGACTGTGGTTGTAACTTCCACAGCTACTGCTACACCCAGGGGCCCGGCATCTGTGACGAGTGTCAGGGTAAGGAGGGAGCCCGCCAAAGGCAGTCATGGGGGAAGGGCTGCTGGGCTGGGCATTAGAAGCCTCAGGCCTCTTCTGTGGACAAGTCTTTCTCTGGGCCTCAGGATTGCCAAGTGAAGGACCACGTGGTAGGACGTAGGGGATTCCCGAGGCCCCTTCCAACTCTCACTTTCAATTGTGCTGGTTAATAAACCCTGAAATGAGCCCCAGGCTGGGAGCAAGGTGAGCTGTTGTTCCACAGAACCTCAGAAAGTCCTATCTGGGAGGCACCTTAGAACAGGGGATGTCAGAGCTGGGAGGGTCCTTAGAACAGGGGATGTCAGAGCTGGGAGGGGCCTCAGAACAGGGGATGTCAGAGCTGGGAGGGGCCTTAGAACAGGGAATGTCAGAGCTGGAAGGGGCCTTAGAACAGGGGATGTCGGGGCAGCTAGGTGGCGCAGTGGATAGGGCACCGGCCCTGGATTCAGGAGGACCTGATTCAAATCTGGCCTCAGACACATAACACTTACTAGCTGAGTGACCCTGGGCAAGTCACTTAACCCCCATTGCCCAAAAGAAACAAACAGAAAAAAGAACAGGGAATGTCAAAGCTGGGAGGGGCCTCAGAACAGGGAATGTCAGGGCTGGGAGGGGCCTCAGAACAGGGGATGTCAGGGCTGGGAGGCGCCTCAGAACAAGGGATGTCAGAGCTGGGAGGCGCCTCAGAACAAGGGATGTCAGAATTACTAAGTCCTTGACAGTCTTGTTTTCTAGTCTGTTCCTCTTTCCTCGGAAGCACCCCTAACTTTGCCCTCCCAAGACCCAGCATATTTGGCTTGGTGGAATGCACTCTTTTATTTGGAGCCAGAAGGCCTGGTCCTGCTCCTTGCCTTCCTGTGCACTGCCTACCTTGGGCAGGTCACTGGGCGGCCTTGGCCCTCAGTTTCCTCATCTGTAAAATGGAGAGGATGAGGCCAAATGATCTCTGGGGTCTTGCCTCTGACCCTAATCCAGGATATCCTCCACAACGCAGCCACAGCTGTGCTCCTTCCTGATAAGTTGGCGGTAGGCGGCCCTTCCTAAGGGGCTGCTACAGGCGGGCAGTGCAGCTGCCATTCGGCCTCATGGACCATGTGAAGGTGTGGAGGCTCAGGGACATCTCAGTGGGGATTCGCACCCTGAGCTCTCGGCTTCAGCTCCAGCGTGCTTTCTGCTGCCTGTTCCCATTTGCAGACCAAACGACAGAGTTCTTCCATCTGGCCTCCAAGTTTTCTGTTGTAAAGCCATTGCCAGAGCCTGCCCTGCATGTATCACTCCCCCTCATGCCTGTCTCTCTGCAGATTGGACCTGGGGTGAGCGGTGTGAGCGGTGCAGGCCAGGCAGCTTTGGCGATGCCACGGGACCCAGTGGCTGTCAGCCCTGTCAGTGCAATGGGCATGGGGACCCCCAGCAGGGCCACTGCGATGGCCACACTGGCCTGTGCTTCTGCCAGGACCACACCGAGGGAGCGCACTGTGAGCTCTGCACAGCCGGTTACTACGGAGACCCTCGGTGAGCGTGCAGGGGGCGGAGGGTGGGCTCTGGGCGGGCAGTGGGGATAGGGGGCGGACCCCAGATTAGAGTGTAAGAACCAAGTTGAAGCTGGGGTGTGGCGTGGAGAGGAGGGAGCTGAAAGGAACCTGAGACATGGGTGGGCCTCGTGGGGTCAGTAAGGACAGTGAGGCAGGAAGAGGTAGGTGAGGATGGGCAACCCCAGGGACTGGGGGTGAGGAATGAGATGTTTGAGCTAAGGGCCCTGGGGGAGGGGTGGGTACACAAGGAATCCACAAAGGATTGGGGAGATCTCTGATTCTTCCTTGTCCTGTCCCACAGGGCTGGGGGCTCTTGTTTCCGGGAGTGTGGGGGCAGAGCCCTCCTCACCAATGTGTCATCCGTGGCGCTGGGCTCCCGCCGAGCAGGGGGACCCCCCCAAGTGGGCAGTCAAGCTGGGCCTGGGCTGGCCTACTGTGTGTGGGTGGTGTCAGCCTCTGAAAACTTGGAGCCCTGCCGGCCTGGGGTTCCCTGCCCCCCACTGACCCTCACCTTCTCCCCAGACAGCAGCACCCCTTGCACAGTGAGCATTTGGAGAGAGCATTGGTGGGTGGGGGGGCATCTAAGTGGGACACATCCTCTCTGCAGACCCTGCTCTTCCCCAGGACTCAGTCTAGAGAGTCACCCCTCAGACAAGGGCCAGCTGGCACCTGGTCTGGGGCTGGCTCAGGAGGGCCCTGGCCTGAGTGGGCAGGACTGTGCCGGGGGCCTCCCAGGAGACAGGGACTCTGGACATCGTCCTCATGCATGTGGGGTCAGAGGCACCCTGGTATGGAGGGGACCGTCCCAGCAGGACTGGGCCTGCTCTTTTGCCCTGCACCTGAGCCCCCGGACCCTCAGACAAAGCCCTTCTGTTCCCCGAGGCCCGGCCCCTGACTGCTGTCCCCTGCTTCACAGCTGAGCTACGTTCTGGCCTTCGATGGTTTCCCACGATTCCTGGACACGGGCATTGTGCAGTCTGACCGGAGCCTCATTGCAGCTTTTTGTGGCCAGCGACGGGACCGGCCACTCACTGTGCAGGCGCTCTCAGGTATGGGAGATCTGGGCTTTCCTGTCCAGAGGTGGAGCCAGCCCTGAAGAAGGAGGCTCGGGGCTCTGGTCCCAGCCCAGGGTCTGCTGCTGGCCCACCGGGCCAAGAAGGGGACCCGCCCCCTGTGCTCCCAACCCCTCCCAGAACGAGGGGAGCCCCTGGGCCAGATCAGCTGACCCCTACGCTCCCCCCGCCGAATGAGGGGAACCCCTGGGCCGACTGAGCCCCCCCCCTGCACCCCCGACCCCTCCAGGGCGAGGGGAGCCCCTGGGCCGGCTCAGCTGCCCTCTGTGCTCCACCCCCCCGAATGAGGGGAGCCCCTGGGCTGGCTCAGCGGCTTCCTGTGCTCCTGCTTCCCCAGGGCTGCTGGTCCTACACTGGGAGGCAAACGGCTCATCCTCGTGGGGTTTCAATGCATCTGTGGGCTCTGGCCGCTGTGAGATGGGGCCAGGGGGCCCTGGGAGCTGCCCAGCTCCCCAGGAGTGTGTCCCTGAAGAAGCAGGAGGAGGTGGGGCCGGCCGCTGCTGCTGCCCCCCAGGCTGGGCTGGCCCTGCCTGCACCCTCGCCCTGTGCCCTGGGAACTGCTCTGCCCACGTTGGGGGCGGCGTCTGCAACCAGGTGTGAGCGGGTGGCAGGCGGCGGGGTGATCATGAGGGGCAGGGCTGGCAAGACCAGTGGGGCTCAGGAGGTGGACAGGGGAGGTAGCCTGTCTTTGACCCCAGGTTTCCTCCCCCATCTTCTCCTCAGAGTTTAGGATTGTGCATCTGCTTTGAGGGTTTTGGGGGCGCAGACTGTGCCACACATCTGGATGGGGGGCAGCTTGTCTGGGAGACGCTCCTGGACAGCCGGCTCTCTGCTGTGAGTCCTGCCCTGGGGCCCAGCCCTGACTCCTCTGGGTGGGGGGAGGCGCAGCCCTCCTGGGAGGACCCTGGGCCCCAGGCCAGCCCCTGCGCGCCCTCTCTCTGCGCAGCGGGTCTCAGGGCCTCGTTTGCCTGCTCCTTCCCTCCCTTGGCTCCCAGCCCAGACACCTGAAGGATCTCTGAGGAAGGCTCCTTTATTCCTCACGATCTGTGAGTGTAGACCTCAGCGTCCTGGGGGACCACCTCTTTCTTGTACAGCAGTGATGTGTGGATGCTCACAGCTCTGTGGTCCTACTGAGGATGAAGGGGGTGGGGGGGAGGGAGAGGGAGAGGGAGACAGAGAGAAAGAGAAAGAGAGACAGAGAAAGAAAGAGGAGAGAGAGTGAGAGAGAGAGGAAGGAGAGGAGAGAGACAGAAGAGGGGAGGGGAGGTGGGGAGAGGAGAGAGACAGAGACAGAGACAGAGAGAAGGAAAGAGGAGAGAGAGGAAGGGGGAGAGGAGAAAGACACAGAGACAGTGACAGAGACAGAGAGAGAGAGAAAGAGGGGAGACAGACAGGAGGCTGTGGAGAGGAAGGAGGCAGGCAGACAGGCAGGCAGACAGGCAGGCCTAGCCCCACTGGCTGGACGCTCAGAGCTGTTTTTCTGGAGCCCTGCTGAGTCAGAGGGAGTTGAAGGGATGCTTGGCCTGTCCCCCACCCCCTGATTACAGGTTTAGAGGGGGGGATCTCTAGGTTAGGCGTGTTTCCCCTCCACACGCATGCACACACACTCACGCATACATGCACACACACACGTGCGCATTCCCTTGCCAGGCCCACGCCTGAGCGCTCTGTCTCCCTGTAGGACACGGCGAGCCGCTTCCTTCACCGTCTGGGCCACACCATGGTCGAGGGGCCTGACTCTACCTTGTGGATGTTTGGGGGTCTGGGTCTGCCTCAGGGGCTGTTGGGAAACCTGTACAGGTGAGAATGACCTCCAGGGGTGCTGGGTGCCCCCTGCCTGGTTGAGGGCTGATGGTGGCTCCTCCGCAGGTACTCGGTGGGGGAGCGGCGCTGGACCCAGATGCTGGCTGGCTCCGAGGATGGGGGGCCTGGGCCCGCACCCCGTTTGTTCCACGCGGCCGCCTACGTGCCCGCTGGCCGTGGCGCCATGTACTTACTGGGTGGCCTCACGGCGGCGGGGGTCGCCCGGGACTTCTGGGTCCTCAACCTCACCACATTGCAGTGGCGCCAGGAGAAGGTGACTGGCTGCTGAGCCCCTCCCCCCAGGGTCTGACCCGGTCCCTTCTTCCCCACGTCCCTGCCCCTCCCCTGTGCCAGAAGGGAATGCATCGGCTGTTCCCGACTCCCTCCCTGCCCTGTGACCTCCGCACGGTCTTCTTGAGGCCCCTCCCTCCCTGACTGCTGACTGCAGCTTCCTGACCTCAGACCCCGCAGGCCCTGCTGCTGCCCGCCGTGGCAGGACACACGCTGACCTCCCGGCGAGGCTTGTCCCTGCTGCTCATTGGGGGATATTCTCCCGAAAACGGTTTCAACCAACAACTCCTGGAGTATCAGCTGACGATGGGCACGTGGCTGGCCGGGCCCTCGAGTGGGACGCCACCCACTGGTGAGGACGAGGAGCCTGGGGCTGGGACCCCTGCGGCCCCCCAGGCTCTCACTGCCCATCTCTGCGACTCCTCTCCTTCCCCCAGGCCTTTACGGTCACTCAGCGGTCTACCACGAGGCCACAGACTCGCTGTACGTCTTTGGTGGCTTCCGCTTTCACGTCGAGCTGGCCGCCCCGTCCCCGGAGCTCTACTCCCTGCACTGCCCTGACCGCACCTGGAGCCTGCTGGCCCCTTCCCAGGGGGCAAAGGTCAGGGTCACTGGGCCCCCCTGGGAGCCAGAGAATGAGTGGAGACACTGCCATAGAAAGTGAAGGGTCAGGACAAGGTAGCTGAGGTGGGGGGTCAGCACGTGGGAGGCATCTCCCCATCGGAGCCCCCCAGGGAGGTAGGAGCTGAGTCAGCCCCACGCTGCCTCAGGCCAGCCAGGTGAGTGCAGAGAGGCAAGACCTTCCTGTGGGTCCCAGGCATCGAGGAGGGCTTCTGGGAAGGGGAGGTTTGGGAGGGGGGAACCAGATGGGAGCCGTAGGTCAGGGAGGAGCCTGTGGGGTTCATGGGGGGAGATCAGAGGGGCTTCATGTCATGAGTAGGGGCCGGAGGGAGGCCTCAGCCAGGCCTCCTAGAGGGAAGGGTTTGGAGAAAAGAGGGTGTAACAAGGAGTGAAAGGTGGTGATCCTGGGGGGCTTCCTGGAGCCTTGTGTGATGGGGAGGCCTGCACAATGTGGCTGTGACTCTGCCCCCTCACCCCAGCCCAGGCCCCGGCTGTTCCACGCGGCAGCCCTGCTCGGGGACACCATGGTGGTCCTGGGTGGCCGCTCGGAGCCGGACGAGTTCAGCAGCGAGGTCCTGTTGTACCAGGTCAACTGCAACGCCTGGCTGCTGCCCAACCTGACCCGTGAGTAGCAGGCCCCGTGAGGGAGGGGCAGAGGGGCCCCGGGCTCTGTGGGGATCCTCCGTCCTTCTAGAAGGCAGTCATCAGGCACAGATTTGGAGCTGGTGCAGGGTCCTCAAAGGCTGTCGGGGCCAGCCTTCCCATTTTACAGATGACGACACTGGGGCCCAGACAGAAGTGCCTTGACTGCCCCAAGGTGCACAGCCTGAGGGGACAGGAGTCCAGGCCCAGTGCTTGCCACAGACCCATTCTGTCTGGTCTGCCAGGCTGTCCACCTGCTTAGGACTTGGCAGTCGGCACGCTGTCTTCAGACAGCTCTTTGTGGGACCAGAAAATGTTCCCAGTGACCCCCAGTCCAGGGATCCCTGACCCTGGCCTGAGGCTGTGCTGCCCCTTTCTGTAACGTCACTGTGAGCCAGACACGTGCCATGCCTAGGGCCCGTGATGGCTCGTCCTCCGTCCCTCTGTCCGTGCCTGCCAACCCCCTGTCCATATCTGCCCACTCTCTGTCCCTCTGTCCATGTTTGCTGACCCCCTTTCCACATCTGCTGACCACTTGTCTGTGTCTGCTGACCCTCCCGTCCCTCTGTCCATGTCTGCCGACCCCCATCCACATCTGCTTCAGGGCCTTTCCTGGTCTTGTCTCTGTTTCTCGCCTTTGCTCTCTGTACAGTGACATCCCCTCTCTGTGTTTCTGTTTCTTTGGTGCTCCCAGCATGGGGGATCCCTCTCCCTCTGGCTCCAGTTTCTCTTTCTGTTTTCGTGGTCTGTCCACTAGCTCCTCTCTCCCTCCTCCTGCTTTCTCAGACCCTGTCTCTGAGCCTCCTTCTCTGCCTCTGCCTCCCCCAGGTCCAGCCTCTGTGGGGCCCCCGATGGAGGAGTCCGTGGCCCATGCCGTGGCGGCTGTGGGGGGCCGCCTCTATATCTCTGGGGGCTTTGGTGGGGTGGCCCTGGGGCGCCTGCTGTCACTGAGCTTGCCCTCGGACCCCTGTCACTTGGTGCACTCCCCTGAGGCCTGTAACGCCTCAGGTGCCTGTAGCTGGTGCCATGGAGCATGCCTGTCAGGAGAACAGGCCCACAGGTGATGGGGGGACTCCTGGGATGGGGTCCAAGTCAGGGAGGAGAGGCGAAGCTGGGGGCTAGAGGGGGCGGATCTCCCTGGGACAGAGGCGGGGGCAGCATGGTCCCATGTCAGTGGGTGAGGAAGGGACGTGTTGGTCAGTGCCTTCTATGGCGATGTCCTTCATGTGCTGCCTGTCCCTCGTCCCCAGGCTGGGCTGCAGCAGCCCCTCCTGCTCCCCCATGCCCCGCACATCAGAGGAGTGCCGCCGCCTGCGCACCTGCAGCGAGTGCCTCGCCCGCCACCCCCGCACCCTGAGGTTGGGGGAAGGGGAAGAGGTGAGGCATTCCCCCCTCCGCTCTGAGTCCACTGGGCCATGGTCTGGGGTCCCCACAGGTGGGGGGACTGTCCCCCCCGGGGGTCCTGGGCCTGAGCGTCCCCCTCCCACCAGGCCGCCCCGCCGCGGTGTAAGTGGTGCACCAACTGTCCAGAGGGCGCCTGCATTGGCCGCAACGGCTCGTGCACCTCGGAGAATGACTGCCGCATCAACCAGCGCGAGGTGTTCTGGGCCGGAAACTGCTCAGAGGCTGCGTGTGGGGCGGCTGACTGCGAACAGTGCACACAGGAGGGCAAGTGCATGTGGACGCGCCAGTTCAAGCGCACTGGTGAGTGGCGGGAGACCCCGCGGGGCGGCAGGGGCCGCGGGGGCCAGGGTCCCAGTGCCAGCCACCCTTCTCTCCCCCAGGGGAGACCCGCCGCATCCTCTCGGTGCAGCCCACCTACGACTGGACCTGCTTCAGCCACTCGCTGCTCAACGTGTCCCCGATGCCCGTGGAGTCGTCCCCTCCCATGCCCTGCCCCACGCCCTGCCACCGCCTCGCCAACTGCTCCTCCTGCCTAGACTCCAAGGGCGCCGACGGGGGCTGGCAGCACTGTGTCTGGAGCAGCAGCCTCCAACAGGTGGGGGGCAGGGCCCTGAGAGGGAGGGGGGGGGCAGAGAGCCTGGGGAGGGGAAGGGGGGGGCAAAGGGCCCAGGGAGGGGAAAGGAGGGGTATAGGGCCAGGGGAGGGGAAGAGCAGCATGCGGGGTGGGGGGCAGAGGGCTCTGGGAGTGGTGGACAGCATGGGGGGGGGGGGGGAGGGGCCCAAGAGGGGGAGGGGGGGGGTAGGGGGCCGGGGGGGGGGGGGGGGGGCACGGGGGGGGGGGGGCAGAGGGCTCTCAGAGTGGTGGCAGGGGTGGCCCTGAACACTCCAAGTCTGATTCCTCTTTGCTGTCCCCTCCTCTTCCTTCGTGTCTCTTGTTGCTTGGGGTCCTGCCCCATCCTTCTCACTTCCATTACCCCCATCCTTTCTCTGCCCCTGCAGTGTCTGAGCCCATCTTTTCTACCTCTGCGCTGCCTGGCAGGGGGCTGTGGGCGGCTGCTGCGAGGGGCAGAAAGCTGCTCCCTGGGCTGTGGCAATGCCCGCCAATGTGCCCTCTGCCTTCGACGCCCACACTGTGGCTGGTGTGCCAGGGGAGATCCTGGCCAGGACGGGGCAGGACTGTGTATGGAGGGTGGCCTCAGCGGACCCCGAAATGGTGAGAATGGGGACACTGGGCTGGTTGCAGGAGAGGAGCTTGAAGTGGTGGGGAGAGCTGGGGGCAGGGAGGCAAAAATCCTGGGGTCTGATCCAGGCCCTAGCCACACTTACTGTGTGACCTTGAACACTTCTCTGCCCCCTTGGCATCTCCCCTTTCTGTTTGTGTCAAGTGTGGGGGGTGGTGTTTGGATTTGATATCCGAGGCCCCTGACTCTGGCATTTGGGGACTGTGGCGGGGGCAGCGGTCAGGATGGGTCAGGACAGCAAGGCCAGGATCCGCAGGGTGGGGCGCTATGGGAGGAGCCGGCGTGATCTCCCCCCTTGCCCCTTCCCCACCAGGGCTGACATGCGGGCATGGCGATCCTAAGGCCTCCTGGGCCTTCCTGTCTTGTCCTCCTGAGAACGAGTGTGTCAATGGACACCATGACTGCAACGAGACCCAGAACTGTCACGACCGGCCTCATGGCTACGAGTGTACCTGCAAGACCGGCTACACCATGGACCAGTGAGGATGGGGGGTGGGCAGTGAGGATGGGGGGGGGCTGGTGAGTACAGGGGGGACCAGTGAAGACGGGGGGCACCAGTGAGGACGGGGGGGCAGTGAAGACGGGGGGCACCAGTGAGGATGGGGGGGCAGTTAGGAAGGGGGGAGACAGGACGGGGGGGACCAGTGAGGATGGGGGGTGGGCAGTGAGGATGCAGGGGGGCCAGTAAGGAAGGGGGAGACAGTGAGGATGGGGGGGCAGTGAGGACGGGGGAACCAGTGAAGATGGGGGAGGGCAGGGAGGGCGGGGGAACCAGTGAGGATGGGGAGGGGCAGTGAGGACGGGGGGCACCAGTGAGGATGGGGGGGACCAGTGAGGTAGGGAGGCACCAGTGAGGATGGAGGGACAGATACACCATGGACCAGGGGGACAGGGTCGGGGCTGGGAGACTGTTGCCAGGCTGGGCTTTTGACCCCGAACCTTGCTTCCTCCCCTCGGCAGTGTGCGGGGCCAGTGCCGCCCAGTCTGTGCCCAGGGCTGTGTGAATGGCTCCTGTGTGGAGCCCGACCGCTGTCTCTGCCACTTTGGGTTTGTTGGCCGTAACTGTTCGACTGAGTGTCGTTGCAACAGGCACAGCAACTGTGATGGCGTAGGGGCCCGGGACCGCTGCCTTGAGTGCCATAACAATACTGCGGTGAGGACCCCTGAGGACCAGGGCCCAGCTTGATCCCTGCTCCTGGCTTCTGGGGAGGTCACCCTTCACCCCTAACCTCATCACCAACCTCTACCCTGGCCTGGGCTTTGGACCTTCACTGCTGTCCTCCAGACCTGTCTGTGGCATCTGTCCCTTCCCCCAATCTCCTTCATCCCCCGGCTCCTCACCAGACCCCTACCTTCTCTGAGTCTCCAGCCACACGGCCTGCATGTGGTCATCGCTCAGTCAACAAGCCTTTATTCTGTGCTTGCAGCACTGTGTTAGGGTACAGATACGCTCCAAGGGGAGTGACGATAATAGCAGGCATTATAACAGTGATAGCCGCATTTCTGTTAAGACTCGCAGTGGTTTATCCATATTCTCTCATTGGATTTTCACAACAACCCTTCAAGGTAGGTGCTTATTATTATCCCTGTTTTACAAATGAGGAAACTGGGGCACAGGTGAAGGGCCTTGCCCAGAGTCACACAGCTAGGAAGTGTCTGAGGCAGGATTTGAATTCAGGTCACCCTGACTCCAGGCCTACTGCTCTAATCACTGCCCTATCTGCTGCTCCATAAGTAGACAGAAAATAAATATATAAGAGAATGAGTCCAAATAGAGTGATTAGATACCAGGTGGCTTGTGAGGGGAAGCCCCAGATTGGGGACGGGGCGCTGGGGCGGTGGCGTCAGGACAAGACAGCCAGTGGGTGGGGAGAGACGGGAGGAGGCCCTGGTCATGTGGAGGGGGCAGGGAGAGTGCAGGCTGGTTGGAGGCTGGAGAGCAGGGAGTGCCCTCTGCTCTGGGCACGTTGGGACGCCAGGTCCTGCCCTCCCAGAGCTCACGCTCCGTAATGGGGGACACAGGATGCAGACAGCTGTATGCAGGGTATGTGGTTCTAGACAGACACACAGGTGCATTCGTGGGGGCTGGGTTGGAGATAATTAACTGAGAAAAGGCACAGGCAGGAGGGGGAGGGAGAGGCTTCCTGTTAGCTGAAGTGCACAGGGCACAGTCTGCGGACACGCCTGGGGCTGAGATGGGGAGGATCTTGGGCCCCAGGGTTGGAGAGGAGGTGGAAGGCAGACTGGAGAGGTGGAAGGGGGCCAGGTCGTGAAGATCTTTTCTGTTTGATTCGGGGGGAAAGAGAGTGAGTTCAGTTTTGGATGTGTTGAGTTGAAGATGGCCGTGGGACGTCCAGTAGGCCCTTGGAGATGAGGAACTGGAGATCAAGAGAGGCTGAACCAGAGGCTCATCCTTACAGACTTCATAGTGGAATCCAAGGGAGTTGGTGGGATTGCCACAGGAGGAGGGAAGAGGACCCAGAGCGCTGTGGGACACCCTGGTTAGCAGGCGTGACCTCGATGAAGAACCAGCCGAGGAGACAGAAGGAGCAGCCAGAGAGGGAGAAGGAGAACCGGGAGAGAGAGGGTGGTGACCTGAAACACCAGAGAAGAGGGTGTAGATCCTGCCCGAGGCTGCAGAGAGGCTGAGAAAGGGCTGTTGGATTTGGCAGCTAAGAGGTCCTCGGTCACTCTGACAAGAGCAGTTTCTGTGGGCAGGCGAGGTGGAAGCCAGATTGTACAGTTTAGAAAAGAGCGAGTGGAGCGGGGAGGCTGGTTGTAGATGGTCGTCTCTAGGGCTCGGCCACAAAATGGAGAAGAGCTACATGGCGAGAGCTGCCAGCGCTGCTGAGTCAAGGGAGGAGAGGGTTGAGGATGGAGGAGACGTGGGCCTATTTGTAGGCAGGGAGAGCCCCCAGGCTAGTAACAGAGTGGGTATGGAGGAGGGAGCTGTTGCTGGAGAAGATGGAATGCAGTGGAGTCATTTGTGTGTGCAGAGAGCAAGGAGAAAGGTGAAGGAAGAGGGAGCTGTGGAAGGTGTCTGGGAGGTGTGAGAAGGGGCGGAGGGAGAAGAGGGAGGTTCGAGGAGCTGCTGTGGAGCGTGGGAGAGAGAGGGGAAGACAGAGGTGTGAAAGGACTGCAGTGAAGGTCATCTAAAGTGGACCCGGTCAGCACGGTTTCCTGGTGTACTCCAGCTTGATCCAGTAGCCCATGAGTAGGAGCCAGGCATTGATGGATGGTGGGAGTCATCCAAGACTGGGGCTTGGCAAGGCACGATGGGGTGTGGAGACAAAGGACTTAATTTTAGAGAACGGTGTAGACTTCAGCTGGTTCACCCGGGGTCAGGATGAGGAAGGAAGAGAGCATAGCTAGTGCATGGAGGACAGCCTGGGGAGAAACTGAGGGGTGGAGGGATTGGAGATCACAGGACAGAGAATGGGATTAGGGAATAAGGCAGAGGGAAAGGTGAGATGAGAAATGATTATGAACAGATAAAGGAATTTCAGAATTCAAGAATATGGAATAGGATGCTTAGAGTGGATCATGAGATCCAAGCCATCTCTGTGCAGAGTGGGTCATGGGCCATGAGACAGGTAGAGGGGATGAAGAGGGAGGACCGAGTGTGCTGTCACCGACAAGTGGTTTTTTATTAAGAAGCACTTATTGTCATCGTACCCCCCTTGGGAAGAAAACCAGTGGCCCTTAAATCAAATATGCCGAGTTAAGCCAAGCACATTTCCACGTTGGCCAATTCTGAAAGCCTGTCTCGTTCTGCATCTCAAGTGCACGCGCCGTCTGGAGTCCCCTGTCATCGCGCTGAAGATGCCACATTGACCATTGAGCCATTGTGGGTCGCTTTGGAGCAGAGAGCAGTTTTAATTGAGGGATGACGTCAGAAGCTCGGTTGCAGATGGTTGAAAAGGGAGAGGAAAGGGAGGGACCCAATGTAAGCAGCTTTTTCTAGGCATCTGAGAAATTGAAAAGACACAGGGCAGTAGCCCGAATGTGGTAGTGAAGGGGAGACTTGGGCATGTGGGCAGGCAGCAGGAAAGGAGGCAGGAGATGGGGAGAAGTTGAAGGAGGGATGATGGAGGAGTCAGCGTGCTAGAGAAGACGGGAGGGGGCCAGTGAAGGTTGGGGGTGCCGGAGCCAGCATGAAAGCCAATGGCGAGCCTTTATACCCTGGAAATTGGCAAGTGCTAGAAAGCCAGGCTGGATTTGTCGTTTTGTTGATCATCTAGACTTAAGAAGGGATGGAAAAAATGCTGATGATGCAGGTTTCTGGGCATGTCTGTCTACTTAATGGAGAGCTGGTTGTTAATCATTTACTAGCGTGCCCCTGGATGAAGGGCACCTGGGGAAGGGTTGGCCTTGGCCAGGAGAAGGGAGAAAGGAGGAGAGCGTTGGAGATGAAGGGAAAGGAAGAGGCCTCAGAGAGTCAAAGGCCGAGGGGAGCGCTAAAGAGGACTTGGAGGAGGGAGGAATGAAGGGACCTTGCTTCGGGGAGGGCCCAGGTGATGTGGCAGCTGTGAATTTAGACCCAGACAGCCTGACACACGTATGTAACAATCGCTCCCTCTGCCTCAGGGGAGCCTCGGGCCAGGTCTGAGAGTCCCCGGGAGCAGAGCGGACTTAGGGCTGGACTTACCCAGGGTCCCCCAGACCACAGCAGCCAGAGTTCAGAGCCACGGAGCTGGGAAGGTGCCAAGTTAGTGAAAACCAGGTGCTGAAACAGGAATGGCTACTTTCCAGATTCCCCACAAGGGTCACTGCTTGGCTGGCCTGGAGGAAACCGGACCTATCTCTGCAGAGCTAGAGGGCAAGGGATGGGGCCCAGGGTGCCTACAGAGGATCTTTTCCTGCCTCCTGAGCAAGAGGAGGGCAGGAAGGGTGGGGAGGAAGAGGAAATCAGGAAAAATGGAAGCGGCTCAGCCCTGGGGAATTTCCTAATCGAGGGACTTGGGAGTCCTGGTCCCTGGGCCAACTGCGGAGCAAGGAAAGGGTTGGTCTCCCTGCTCTGTGCTTCACAGATTGGCCCTGGCGCACTGGGTCTGGTGGTGGCACGTCTTAGGAGAGGCCTGGACAGACCAGAGTGCGTCCGGGGAAAGGCAGCAGGGATGGGAGGGGATGACAGGCGAAGGACCCCGAGGAGAGAACCCTGGCCCTGCCTCCCGCCAGCCAGCTGTCTGCTAGGCTGCTGCCGCCTCGCTCTGCGTCTGCGTGAGGTGGAAGGGCTCACGTCTGATGTGTTGTGTAGAAGAGAGAAGTTAGGTGACGTCATGCAGTGACAGTGTTGGGGAGGTGGCTGTTTAGGGTCATTCTGGCCTTGGGAAGAGCGAGCTTGGAGTGGGGGCGCATAGGGGGAGGCCTGGAGGGTCATGAGGCCCCCTCCTGTTCCCATGGAGGAAAAAGACCCAGGCGTGCTATGACTTGTCTGAGGCCACCCATGTAAAGAGGCTTCAGAGCTGGGATTTGAACCCAGAGCCGTGTGCTTCCCACCACATTGACTTGCTATTTACCTTGTGCCTCTTGGCCCCAGAAGGAGGGGCTGAGGTGGAGGGGAGTCCTGGGAGGCAGGATTAGCCTGGATGGAAAAGGAAAATGTTCCAGTAATCAGAGCATGAGCTGACTCAGCAGGTAGTGATCTCCCTGCCCTTCAGGGCAGGCTTTAGCATGTTGTAGAATCAAATGGTGTCAGAGTTGGGGGGGGGGGGTCCACAGTGGCCATGGGATCAAACCAGACCCTGAAGGACATCCTCTACAATGTCCCCAACAAGCAATGTACTCTACTTACTGCCTGAAGGCTTCCAGTGAGGGTGAGTCCAGGAACGGGATAGGGCACAGGACTGCCCGAGTTCAAATCCAGCTTCAGGCACTGACCAGCTGCGTGACCCTGGAGCAGTCACTTCACCCTTGTTTGCCTCCGTTTTGTCATCTGTAAAATGGGGATCATGACAGCACCTCCTTCCCAGGGTGGTTGTGAGTATCAAATGAGATAATGTTTGTGAAGCGCTCTGCAAATGCGAAAGCCTTACTAAGTGCTAGTTATTACGGCCTCCCAAGGTAGCGCATTCCACTAGCTATCAGGAAAGGTTTCCTGACGTCGCACCTCATCTCTCTGCCCTCTCTGGGGCCAAGGAAAGAAAGCGTGATCCCTCTTCCCCTCAAGCCCTCCCTCCATAGTAGCCGGGTCTCCACAGCTCTCCACGTCCTGGTTACCTCTTCCTGCGTGTTTCCTACACTGTTCCTCCCAATTTGGCCTAAGACGCCAAGGTCGTGTTGTGCTGCTGATTCATAGAGAACTGCAAAATACCCACTTTTTTTTTTTTTAACAGAAATCAATCAGCCACACAGCCCTCATCCTATATTTTGAAGGTGATTTTTTTAAAAACTCAAGTTTAGAACTTAATGTCTGACCTTATTCTGTTTTGTATTCACTTGGTCCATTCCTGTGGCCATTGCAGACGGAGGGCATCTTCTGCCTCTTATCCAGTGTGCGGGCTGTCCCTCCAAACTTTGTGCCTTCTGCAGATTTGAGAAGCGTGCCTTCTGCACCTTAAGGGCACATCTTAGCAGCACCCAGACGTGAACAGCTCCCTCCCCACTGACCGTGGCCCTCCAGGGTCTCATTTTTAGGTCTGGTTATACAACCTGTTTCAGATTCCCTTACCTAGACTGCCCTGTAGCATGAAAAATTTAATCAAACACTTTCCTGCAATTGGAAGATAGTATGTCTACACCAGGGGTGGGAAACCTGTGGCCTCAAGGCCATGTGTGGCCTTCTAGGTCCTTGGGTGCAGCCTTTTGACTGAGTCCAAGTTTTACAGAACAAATCCTTTTATTAAGGGGCTTTGGTACAGTTTGGATTCAGTCAGAGGGCTGCACTTGAGGACCTAGAGGGCCACATGTGGCCTCGAGGCTCCCCACCCGTGGTACACCATTTTCATTTGCCCAGCTAGTTACGGGGTCAGAAAAGGAAATTTCCATCAGTCTGGCTTGACCTTTTCTTGATGACACCATGATGTCTTGGTGTTCATTGCTTCCCTTTCCAATGCTCACGAACCTTCCCTTTACTAGTGTGTCTAGAATTTCATCAGACACACCAGCCTGTTGTTTGCAGATTTCACCCTCTTCCCTTTTTAAAGAATCAGGAAAGCGCTTGCCCTTTTCCAAAACCGTGGGACCCCTCCCATTTTCTGGGATCTGAGAGATCTCACCAAGAGCAGCTTAGTAATCCTCTCTTTCAGTTCTTTAACAGTAAATAATAATTATAATAATAGCTTGAAATTAGCTTGCAAAGCCCTGTGTGAGAACCTTATCTCGTGAGAAGTGTGGGCTGCAGTCTGGCCTTGCCCAGGAGCGGAGCTCTTGGAGGGTGGCTGGCTGCCTGTCTGCTCTTCATGAGTTTCCACTCCCCGCCAGTCAGGGTTTATGTGGGATGCTCTCCCATCCCCAGACATCCTGGTTCCTCTCGCCTGGCTGTTTTCCACCTTTTCTAGGTACTTTCAAAAATGAGGTGCCTAGAAGTGAACGTTGAGCCAGGCGTGGTCTGACCAAGGCCTAATAAACGGGCATCTTTTCCTCCCTGGTTCTGTACACTGTCTCTTTTCATGCCACCCAAGGGTCATTGTTGCCTTTTTTCTTTTTCCTGTTGTGTCATTCTGGAACCACTGAGTCAGGGGTCTGACTCCTCCTCTGGTGGGACTGCCTGAGCTCCATCCTCTGCCTAGCAGCCAGCTGGCATCAGCTGACAGCGGTCCCTGTCCGCAGGGTCCCCACTGTGAACGTTGCCGGCCACTGTTTGTGGGCTCAGCCCTGGGAGGTGGAACCTGCCGCCCCTGCCGAGCTTTCTGCAGAGGGAATAGTGACATCTGTGTCTCTGAGAAGGAGTTAGAAATGTCCCGTGACGATCCCGAGACATACCCCCTGGATCCTGAGGAGGTGAGCAGGAGCCCAGGCTCCCGATGGGGAGGGCGGGAGGTGGTGGGCTCCGGCCGTCTGTGTGTCAGGGGCTCTGTCTGCCGCCAGATTGAGAAGTGGGTGTCCGAGGGGCCGAGCGAGGACGAGGCCGTGTGTGTGAACTGTCAGAACAACAGCTACGGAGACAAGTGCCAGCGCTGCCTGGAAGGGTATTTCCTTCTGGACGGCCGGTGTACCAAGTGAGTGATGGCCCCGCTGGCCAGTGGGGGGCTGGGGGGTGATGGCCATGTCCTCGTGGGGGGCCTGGAGCAGTGAGCCCCTCGCTTGAAGACATCCCTCCTTCCAGGTGTCAGTGTAACGGCCATGCAGACACCTGCAATGAAGATGGGACGGGCTGTCCCTGCCAGAATAACACGGAGACAGGCACCTGCCAGGGGAGCTCCCCCAGCGACCGCCGTGACTGCTATAAGTACCAGGTGAGGGCACGAGGGCGACGCCAGGCTGGGCAGACGAAGGATGGGGCATACCTGGCCAGGCAGATGACATGTCACACTAGCTCTGGCAAAGGTGGGGCATCTGAATGAGAGGTGCCCAGGAGCTGGGGCAACCACAGGAGGTTTCCTGGAAGCGGGGGGGACCTGAGATGGGTCTTGGAGCAGAAGAGTATCAGGGCGACGTTATGAAGAGAAATTATTTGAGGTGGAGGGTGGAGGCAGTGCAGAGGGGGACCTGAGGTCAGTCGATGGGAAGTTGAGGTCAAGAGTGAGGAGGCGTTGAATGACAGGCTGAGGAGTGAGGACCAGGGACTGAAGGTGAGGGGGGTTGCTTTCTTGTCTCTCCTGCCCCTGCAGTGCGCCAAGTGCCGGGAGTCTTTTCATGGCAGCCCCCTGGGGGGCCAGCAGTGTTACCGGCTGATCTCAGTGGAGCAGGAGTGTTGCCTGGACCCCACCTCCCAGACCAATTGCTTCCACGAGCCCAAACGCCGGGCCCTCGGCCCCGGGCGCACCGTGCTCTTTGGGGTCCAGCCAAAGTTCACCAACGTAGATATCCGCCTGACGCTGGATGTGACCTTTGGTGCTGTCGACCTCTACGTTTCCACATCTTACGACACCTTTGTGGTCCGTGTGGACCCAGACACCGGAGTCCACTCTGTCCACATCCAGCCACCTCCACCAGCCCCACCCCCTATGGCTGCGGAGGCGGGGCTGCGAGCAGGCGAGGTGGGCGCTGGGGGGCCTGGTCCGCCCCCAGAGCCTCGGATCCGGGAGGTGCGGCCACGGGGGCTCATCACCTACGTGACTGTGATCGAGCCTGCCGCCGTGCTGGTGGTGCGTGGGGTGCGGGACCGGCTCGTCATCACCTACCCCCACGAGCAGCATGCCCTCAAGTCCAGCCGCTTTTACCTGCTCCTGCTGGGCGTCGGGGACCCCACGGCGCCTGGCGCCAATGGCTCTGCAGACTCCCAGGGCCTCCTCTTCTTCCGCCAAGACCAGGCCCACATCGATCTCTTTGTCTTCTTCTCTGTCTTCTTCTCCTGCTTCTTCCTCTTCCTGTCGCTCTGTGTCCTGCTCTGGAAGGCCAAGCAGGCCCTGGACCAGCGGCGCGAACAGCGGCGACATCTGCAGGAGATGACCAAGATGGCCAGCCGCCCTTTTGCCAAGGTCACAGTCTGCTTCCCGCCTGACCCGGCCGTTAGCGTCCCCTGGAAAACGAGTAGTGTGGGCCTCCCACCCCCTGCCTTCCGCCGCTCGGAGCCTTTCCTGGCCCCGCTGCTGTTGACTGGGGGTGGGGGGCCTTGGGGAGCTGGCAGTGGGGGCTGCTGCCCTGTGGCCCTGAGGGCCGGGCCCATCACTCTGGAGCCCACAGAGGACGGCATGGCAGGGGTTGCTACACTCCTGCTGCAGCTACCTGGTGGCATCTACACCCCGAACAGGGCCTGCCTGGGCTCCGCCCTGGTCACCCTGCGGCACCGGCTGCAGGAGTACTGTGGAGGTGGCAGTGGACCTGGGGCCAGTGGACACGGGGCAGGGGGCGGGAGGAAGGGACTGCTGACTCATGACAACCTCACCAGCATGTCGCTCTGAGGGCCCGGGGGTGGGGAGGGTCACCCAGCGCTTGCTCCCTGCCCCTCGGCCCCCCACACTCCCAGCCTGTCCCTAGTGGCCAGGCGTTCCGTAAACCCCCGGCTCATCTTTGGTTTGCTGACACCCTTCCCGTCAGCCCCGCGTTTGGACTCCACACTGTACCGTGTCAGGCCTCTCTGAGGAGCTATCCCCTGGGCTCCAGGCCAGGTTTCCATGCTGAAGGCAGTCTTCCCTCAGGCCCCTCACCCACCCAACGTCTTGAGTCTGTCACCTATGACCCCCGGCGCCCTAGTGTGACTGGCCCTGGGGTTTCCCAAGCCTTCACTTCCTGGACACTGGACCACCTCGGTTCCCTTGGAAGCCCCTCAGCTTTCTGGGACAAATCGCAGCGTTTCAGACTTGGGTCCTCCGTGAACATTTAGTCCGACCCCGCCCCAGCATGGGGGACCTCACTACCTCTTGAGGCAGGCCATTCCTGCTGGAAGGATTTTCCTGACATCAAGCTGCATTTGCCCCCTTGCGCCTCCACCCATCGCTCCTGGTTCTGCCCTCTCTGGCCCAAAAGGACTCCTTTTGCCCCTCTATTGCAGGACAGCCCTGCAGGTACATCGAAATAGCACTCGTGGGTGTCCCCTTCAGCTCGTACCTTCAGCCTGGCCTCTGGAGGGGAGGCACACCCTCTCCATTCGGGTCACCCTCTCTATCCACCTCCTTCCTGAGATGTGTGCAGAGCCGAACCTGCACCCCAGGGTGGCCTCCCTAGCACTCCTCCCCGTGGTCCAGGAAGTACAGCCTGAGGTGGGGGGCTGTGTCACAGCGTCGGCTCACGCTGAGCTTGCTGAGCCAGCTGGGCCTCCCCTCAGCTTGCGAAGTTGTCTCTTTGATTGGCCCAGTGGGACATCTCCTGTCCCGCATGTAGTGAGCGATTCCTCCCCGCCGTCACTTGGAGGTTCTGTGAGGGCGTCACATTGAGGCCAACCACAGGCTCCGGGGGCTACCCCATGGGCTACTCTGGGGTCCAAAGGTCTGTGTCTCTGGAGGGGGGTTGGCCTCCTCTGTCTTGCCCCCCACCCCCCCCCCTTTGCCAGCATCCCAGCCAGCAAGCTCATCTCTCCTGGGGGGAACCCTCTGAGTGAAGGAGGACGGGCCCGTGACTGAACTCGTTGCCCCCACTGGTGTCTGGTTGGAAGCTGGATGTTAAAGGGAATTCTTGCTCATCTACAGCTTGAACTGGACAGCCTTTGAAGCCCCTTTCCAGTCCTTAGTAACTCTTTCAGCCTTCTAGCTGCCCAAATAGCAATCGAGGCGATCCTCATAAAGTGCTTAGCGCAGTGCCAGGCACATAGCAGAAATGCTTCTTCCTTGTCCTTCCCAACCAATGGCTTCAATAAACTCCCCACTCTCTCTGGTCCCTGTGTCCCTTAACTCAGGACTCCAGGACCTGTCTCTTTTCTCCGAAATCTTACTTATCCTTTCCTTCCTGCTCCTGACCCCCCCCCCCCAGCTTTTGAACCCCTCACCCTTTCTCATCTTTCCCTCCAGGGCCTTGGAAACCATTCATTCCCATAGCTTACTGCCTGCCCCTCCCACCCTACCCAAGTCAGAGGATTTGGACAGCTTCACTCTTGTGGGCAGGAAGGAGGTCACTGGACTGATGTGTATGGGAGGAGGAAACCTTAAATCACCAAATAAAACATTTCCAGGGGACCCAGTTGTCTGGTTGCTGTGTAGAGATGTGGGGGAGAATCTGGGCCCTTCGGCCGGTGCTGCCGTGCAGACTGCCCCCCATTCTGTTCTCCATTTCCAGTCCATCCCTGCCCCAGTACACATGTCCTGGCTCCTGGCCGTGGGTTTTCTCCCGTTCGAGGATCCTGTGATGCCCCTGTGACCTCTAGTCCCTCAGAGCCCAGTGATGACTTTGGGATTCGTGCATGTGGTTTTCTGTCTCCAGGCTGGGGTGCAGGCAAGGGAGGGCCATGAGATCTTTGCCGGCTACCGCATCAGCCAGCTTGGCCAAGTGTGTGTGGGTTTGTGGGCCAAGAAAGGCCTTCCTTCCCCTTCTCAGTCCTCTTTGAGAACAGGACTGATGACAGCAACATAAGGGGGTTGGACTCAGTTCCACATTCTAGGAGGTCCCCGCCTTGGTCTAATCGGGAATACAGAATTTACCTCCCTGCCTTTGAGGGCATATGAGGCATATGTTTGGTTCCTTAAATTAGAGACTGGGCTGGGCCCAGACGGAAAAGGTGGAGGAACCAGTGAGACTAAAGTGCAGATCCTGCCTGTCCCTCCCAGGGGCCCTTAAACACTGAACTGAGGGACCTTCGGACTTGGCCCAGGGGAGACCCAGATTGAGGAGGGAGGAGCCTTGGCGCTAGGACTAAGACTGGGTGTCCAGATGAGGCTTCTTTTGTCAAGTGGGGTGCGGCAGGGCCCATCCCTCTTGTTACTCAAGTGACTTTCTGTTGTTCTGGTCTCTCTTGGTGACTGTCTTCTATGCCTCCTTGCATCACCGAATAAGGAAATAAGGAAACAAACATTTATTAAGCACCTACTGCGTGCCACACAATGTGAATTACATTTTATAGTTGAGGAAACTGAGGCAGGCGGAGGGTCAGTGTCTTGCCTACGGTCACGCAGCTATCTGAGGCTGTATTTGAACTCAGGTCTTCCTGACTCCAGATCCAGCGCGCTATCCACTGGGCCACCTAACTGGTATTGTCTGTGTATCTAATGGCATCTGGGAGCTCAAAAAAGAGTTCCAGGAGCATAGGTCCGAGACCTGTAAGGGCTTGAGGGACCATCGGAGTTCAACCCACTCATTTTAACAATGAGGAAACCTTGATGTGAAGGTAAAGAGACTCACCCCGGTCACATAGTAAGAAGCAGAGTTGGGGTTCAATCCAAATCCCTATCTATTTGTCTGTCTGATCTGCTGAGTGCATTATGTTTTCTGCTCCAAGAATGCTCCCAGTTGTGTCCCATCTGGGCTCTTGGGTCAGCTATGTAGAATGCGTATCCCTATGGCATGCAGGTATTCCCATCCTACTTTACAGATTAGGGAAGTCAAGGCTCGGAGGGGTGAACGCTGCTTATTATCTCTGAGCCGGCGACCTCAATGTTGGTGCTGGGATTTGAACCTGGGTCTCCTAGCTCCACTTCCAGGGCTTGATCACCCTCCACCATACTCCTCACTGCCAGCGGCTCCTTTCAGTGTGAATGTTCTAGCTCTACTCTGGCCTGCTTTGTGCTCAGGTTCACATGTCAGGGGTGGGGCCCCGACGTCTGAAGGAATGTTCCCAGAAGTAAAGAACCAGAAGGGAACTCGGAGACCAGCTCGTCTGATCTCACCTGCCTAGGAACCTCCTCCATACCACACTCAACATGCAGTCCTGCCTGGGTCCAAGCAGCTTGATTTGTTCTCTCTCCCCACCCCTCTTCCGGAAGTGCCAACCTCCTCTGGGCCTGCTCTGATTGTTAGAAAATGCCAGCAGGAGCGGATCAGTCCGGGACAAGATTGGTGAGGGCAGGAATATGAGATGAGGTGCTCGGCCTGGCTAGGGGTCTAGGTCACACTCTCTCCATGATAGCTGGCATTGAATGTCACTGGTAACTCAGAGCCTCCCCAGGTAAATCCAGATTGACCGAGGTGGTGATTCCAACTTAACCGGAAGTTCTTCTGATCAAGCCCCCAGTACATTGAGGTGGTCATTTTTCATACAACCTCGTCAAATAGATCAGGGCTCCCCTGATGTCCCTACTACCTCCCTTACACAAATCAGATCCCCAGAGCTTAGTACAGTGCTGTGCGCATAGTAAGCGCTTACTGCTTTTCTAAATTCATTCAGTATGGCCTCAGTTAACATCACAGTAGCTCTGTGAGCTGGGTACCCCGGGGAAAATGGCAGCTTACAGAGGTTGTGGTAACCCATAAGTCTAACTTGTAAGTGTCAGAGTCAGGACTTGAATTCAGGTCTCCCTGACATTGATTAGCAGGAGAGTGTTCATAGGAAGTTGCCTTCCTATGAAAGGGAACTAAGATGGTAGAAGGGCCTTTGTGCCTGTTACACAAGGACTGGTTGAAGGTACTGGGAATGTTTAGACTGGAGAAGAGAGGGCTCAGGAGGGACACGCCAGCAGTCTGCAAGTATTTGAAGAGCTGTGCTATGCAGGAGAGGGTCAAGTTTGTTGTCTGGTCACAAAGGGCAGAAGAAAAAGCAAATAACAAGCGCTGTCCCACAGTGGAACTGGCTGCCTCGAGATCTGAGGCGCTGCAGAGGTCTTCAAGCCAAAGCAGACATCACCTGCTGGGCAAGGAGTAGAGAGAATTCTCATTCGGGAAAGGACTGGGCTGGCTGGCGCCTGAGGGCTTTCCCAGCTCTCAGGTTCTGAGCTTTGTTCTCAAAGCCCAGCGGCCTCTCAGGAGCTCCGGATGGAGAGAGAAGCCGAGACCCAGAGAAGGCCAGAGATTCACCCCAGGTCACACGGCTCAACCGTGGTCTCCTGGCTCCTTCCCAGGCTTAGCCTAGCCCTATCGCCTCGCTTGCGATTTCTAGCCCCTTCCCATTTCCCAGACCACTCGGACACAGCTTTGGGTTTCTGATTTTATTGGCAGGGTGAGGGGGAAGGGAATGAAGGGTCAGGAGGAATAAGTGGGCGGGGCTGGGGCGGGTCCTCACTGTCTGATCTTCAGCTCCCGAGCCATCTGGCAGAGCGCACAAGGCAGGCAGAAGGTGAGCGCTGCCCAGTCGTTTCCAACAGAGCCCTGTCGGGGGAAAAGTAGCGAGGTTAGGGAGGCATTGAAGATCTGGGGGCCCCAGTTATCCTGGTCACAAGGCCTCGGTCCCCACCCCGGGTGCTCAGGCTCAGCCCCCTTCCCCAGAACCTCCATGCCTCCTCACCAAAATGCGGTAGCGCTCTCTCATGCCAGTGCGGAGGGAGTGGAGACCACCAGGCAGGTAGGGCGCACAACAGCACTCCCCGAAATCATCAGCGATGCGGCAGGCCAGGCACAGAGGGGCGAAGGTGCCGCACAGACCTGCGGGGTAGGAGAGGGAGAGGTCAGAGACCCCCAAGCCCAAAGGAAGCCGCTCCGCTCCTCTGTTCTCCTCTCCTCCCCTCTCCCTCTTTCTTTGTCTCTCTCTGTCTCTGTGTCTGTGTTTTTGTCCCTCCCCCCGCCCCCCATGGGGTTAGACTGGATGATCTCTAACTCTGATGGTCTGTTCTAGGGCCCTTCCTAGTTCTGACATTCTGTGGTCTAGGCTCGAAGAAGCCTCCCATCTTTGATATTCTAAGCTGTGAAGTCCTCAGTTCTGACAGCGTTCTCTGTTCTGAGATCCTTCGCAGCTCTGACATTCCCTGATGTAGGGGCTCTCCTGGCTCTGAGTTCTAGGTGATGGAGCCTGTAGCCAGAGGAGGGATGCTGGGGCAGGCTGGGGCACACTCACACACGGGCATATCATTGCAGCAGTCCGTGAGTTCAGTGTGCCAGTCACTTTGCTGGGTCTGGTAGCAGGTGCTCTGGCTTTGGGGCTGGCTGGTCACAGGGTAAGACATAGCTGGGGAGAGCAAGAGAAGAGACAAGGTTAGACGAGGGTGCTTCAGGGTCTGGGTTCCTTCCTTCCTCTCAACATGCCACCCCCCCCCCCCCCCGCCCCCCTGGGCCGCCCCCCCACCTGGGGGGGGGGGGGGAGCTGGAGAAGGCGAAGGGCTCTGAGGAGCCACACAGCAGCCACCGCCCTCTTCTGGGAGGAGGTTCCTCATCTGAATTTGGAGTCGCATCTGGGTGGGGCCTGAGGTCTCCCTCCCCCTCCCAGGCTCTGGCTTTCTGCAGCTGGGGAGCGTGGGTCCTCCTGCACATCTGGAGAGCCGGTGCCTCTTGCACATCTGGGGGGAGGGTGCCTGGTGACACTCCCTGCAGGCGGTTCCAGGGAAACTCTCCCTCCCAGTAGACGGGATGGGAGCTCTGGGAAATGGGGGCCTCCTCTTGCAGATCTGGGGTCAAGGGGCGTCTTGCGCGTCTGGGCCGAGGGCCACATCTGGGAGGAGGGAAGGAGCAGGCGGTCCTCCTCCACATCTGGGGGCCCAGGCCGGCTTCTTGGCGGTGTCCGCGCGACCCCGGGCAGGGGGAGGGGAGGGGAGCAGGCGGGGGAGGGGTCTCTCAGGCGAGCGCACCTTTGCCCTTCACGTTGTCATGCATCTCGAACTGCATCCTTGATGAGATGGTGCGGGCCGAGGCGGAGAGGAGGCGCTGAGTAGCAGGTTCCGGGGGCACCTGGAGGCTAGGTGGGGTGGGGGGTGGGGCGGGGGCAACGGCACTGGAGTAAGGGGAGGGACTGCGGCAGGCGGAGGGGGCGGGGGGAGGGAGAAAGAGGCCGGGTCAGAGCCCCCCTCATCCTTTCCCGCTTCCTCCGGGGAAGCTCTTGGTACCAAGATTCATCCATTAGGGTGCTGAGAATCTCCATCATCCCACAACCCCACGCCTCAAGACTGAGGTATCATTGAGGGGAGACAGATAAGAAGAGACTGAAGTGTAAGCTGAGTTGGACAGAGACACCCAGGAATGGTCAGGGCCAGAGAGAAACGCAGACACCCAACAATAAGAAGTTAGAGAAAAATCCCGATACAATCAGAGACTGAGAAATCTGCGAAGACAGCCTAGCCGAGAGACAATGATGCTCAGAGGCTCGGAGCTGCAGAATGGAGAAAGCTGCCGATACCTGAAGCGCAGACCAATCTTCCGGGGAAGACTGGATAAAGCCAGAGACTGAGGACGCTGACACACCCAGCGCCCCGTGGCTTCCACGGAGACATCGAGGCAGAGTAGCAGAAACACTCACTGAGAGAGAAAAGAGAGAGACAGAGATACCCAGAGATAAGGGAGAGATAGAGACACCTGGAATTATGGGATAGAGATAGAATGTCAATGAGATAGACGATCACCGCGACATGCTAGGGGAGACCCAGCAAAAGAGACAGATAGACAAGTCTACTAGGAGCCTGAGAGATCTGTGTAGAGACAGCTGAAGAGAGAGAACAGTTGGGGACCGAGCCCCAGAATGACAAGAGACAGCCAGGGGTAAGGGAGAGACCCTGAGAGAAAGTTCAAAGAAACACAGAAGAACGGACTGCCAAGTCCAAGAGGAAGCCCCAGGAGCCGCTTCGGGCCAGGAAGCAGATGCCGGAGGCAGGGGGCTGCCCGGGCTGGATGGGACTCCTTCCTACCTGGGGAGCACTGGGCGGGATGCTGGGGCTCTCGGGCTGAGTAGCACAGGGGTTGGCTCTGGCCTCGTCACTCCGTGCCTGGCTCTCTCTGGCTGTGCCTTCTCATCCCGAGCAGGTCTTATATGGGGCAGCCAGGTAGCAGGGGCGGGGCAGTACCGTGCCACAAGGGGAAGGAAGCGCTTGGAGCCAGGCTTAGATGGGGATTCCCCTCCCCCCATTCCCTCTAGGGCATCCCTGCTGGCCAGCTTATCTGGGGGGAGCCCCAGGATAGATGTGGGGATCACTGAGATGAGGGGCAAAGACTGGGCATTGGAGGCAAGCCAAGACCAATGCAAGGAGAACATGGGGAGATTGAGGGACACAGGGACAGAAATGAGGAGATGGTGAGACAGAGGTAGAGATGATCAGAGACACACAGACAGAGGCAATGGCTTCTGAATTCTACAGTCTTTTTAAGGTGTACAAAACGCTTCCCCTACCGCAACCCTGCAAAGTACATGGCGGATATATTAGCCCCATTTTACAAATGAGGCAAATAAAGGTTTTTAGAGCCCATAAACTGCTGACCAGGGACTTGTATCCCTGGTCTTCTGAGGCTCAGGACTCTCCCCCGACTCTCGAAAGATAAACAAGGACAAATAGAAGAAAAGAGAGGGCACAAGCTGGAAATGGAACCTGGAATTTACTGTGTCATTGAGGGCACTGCCCTTTCTCTCCTTGGGCCTCAGTTTCCCCATATGAAAATGAGAAGGTTGAACACAGTGATCCCCTAGATCCCCTCTAGAGCTATATTTTATGGTCGAAAGAGGCAATAAAGTGTGCAGAGACCAGACGGAGGCAGA